TTTCAAATAAGCATTTACCCTAGAAAATGGATTCCAAAAATTACAAAACTTTAAAACAAGGACAATACATATCATAGGAACAACATATCCAAATTTCAGTATTTTTGGAGACAATTCGATTTATCATGAATTTTAAAAACAACTGCAGTAATTACATAATAAAAAATTCATAACTCAAAATCTATAATTCCAAATGACACAAGGTTAAAACCAGTATAACTAGGACACTCATATGTTCCATAATCCATGAGATCTCCACGAGTTAACATCAGATCATAATGGTTTCACATTAAACCCTAAAGATCATCCATATTGGTATATATATAATACAATATTTTAACATTTTCATATCAAGTAAATCATAATATCACCTAATCAGCCATGAACACATATAAAACACATAAAATCCAAGGAGTTTAGTAGACTACCAAACACTAACGGGAGAACAGCGACACAGCGCGCTAAGGACACGGGTTCGGCTCCTACGGGCGGGGAACCCGTCCGCTTAGCGTGCTCGGTGTTGGAGGCGGCTCGCACGACAAGGATGGCGTCCAAGGGTCCTCGGTGGTTCGCATTGGTCGTGGATGGTGGTCCGAAGTGGCAGCAGACGCGGTATGGCGAGGCATGCTCGCGGTTTGCGCGCGCGGTTCGGCGGGGCGTGCGCGGGTGGCGAGAATGCATGGCGAGAGTGGGCGAGCTTGGTGATTTTTCCGGCGAAAAAGGATGTGAAAAGGGGGAGACGAGAGCTCTGATAATTCGAGAATGAGGGAGTGAGAGAGAGTGTGGGGCGAGAGAAAGATAAGAGGAGAGGGAGGAAGGTGACCTTCCTTAAGTAGCCAACCAAAAATGTAACCTTTAATTAAATGGTCAAAGGAGCTTAATTAGGGGGATAAGGGCTGACTTGGTGGGATAAGGGGTTACAAACTTAAATTCAAAAATTAAAACCAAGGCTTGCATGCGTGGGGACGGGGCGGGCCAGGCGGGGAGGCCTCACGCGGGCGCGGGTCGCGGATAAGGTGCGGGTGCTGGTCAACGCAGGCGCAGCTATCAGGCGCGAGATTTGCGGGGGCTGAGGCCCGTTTCCTTGGCGTGCGTTTGGTTCAACGGTTCGACTTGATCGCTCGGTTGGTTCGACTGATAATTAAAATAATTTACAATTTGGCTCGATATAAAAATTTAATTAATAATGCCATTAAACAATTACGAGCACATAACTAAAATAAAAAAATAATAATCGAGCACGAATAAAATAAATCAAGACAATTAACACAAATAATAATTCCAAAATAATCCGGAACAAATGGGGCGCTACAGTTGTTGCGGCTTCTGGCTCCGGTTGATCTCCAAGGTTGATTATATGTATGTATCTCAATAAACCACAAGATCTTCTACTGTATATCTCAAACACCCTTCTTCAACTTGTATTAGTGGAGTAACAAGGAGAAGATAAAACTCTAACGGGAACTTCGAGAGAGAGAAATCGAACGTGTCCTTCGTGTGATTCAAAATGCTTCCCTCGGATGATTTGGAAGAGAGCTCGTGTCCTTCGTGTGATTCAAGAGTAAGCTCGTCTAGCAGCTCTCTCAGACTCTCGTGAAGGGTTTGTTGATCGGAGATAGTATACGTCCACTCTTGGTATGCATACACTCAAACAAACGGGTTACGATCACCAATAATAGATGAAAGAAAATAAAATGAGAAAAAAAAAACAACGAACGAACTAACACATAAACAAAGAAAAAGAAACAAAGAGAAACACAAAAAATAAAGTGAATAAGTGCACAAAATACGTCCTAAACCTTCCCCGATAACCGCGCCAATTTGTTATAAATATTTTTTTACCGGAGTAGAAAAGATTCGAACACCGGGTCGTGTCTCTCGAGGAAGGTTTGTCGGATTATTCTGTATGTTTACTCAACTACACAAAAAGAACTAAAATTCCTAAACATACTAATTCAGAGATTGGTTTTGATTATTAACTACGACAAAAATTAAAATAAAGCACTAGAAATAGCAAGCAACAACGACAAACAAGTAGGATTTTAAAAGCTATGGAGTCGAGGATATAGGTTTTGGTTTGATTACAATTAATGGGCAAGTGATTGTTCGGTTAAGTGATCTGAATAGCATGCTCATTCAAGTACTCATCCTCAATAACTCTTCGTAACAAGAGAACAAACTTGAACGACAAATTAACAAGTCATTTAACACCTTGGCATACAGTTACGAATAAACCTAGCTTATACGAGCCTATTTCGACCGACTCCTCCCCTTTCGGTTCTAAGAGTCGATTAATATAAACTAGAGGGTGGTTAACCGACTAATCAATTAGAACAAGCAACATCATACAAGAATAAATCGAACTCAATTGAAAACAATTAGAAATTGAAGTGTCACCCTTCAATAATCCTCAATATTCAAATACGACAATTGAAAACCCCTTATAAAGATCAACTCGCATAAAAAGAACAATCGACAAACACCACAATCACAATGAAAATCAAAACATTAATCTCCTTTCCCTAGCAAAAGGATTTAGCTACTCATAATCGAATTATCAACACAAACAACCATAATCAAAGTGAACTATCCATGGATTAAATGTATAGAAAAACTTACGGTTAATTGAAATTGAATGACGAATCCGATAAACAAGATTAATCCGAAAGCAATAGAAAAATCCGAGTTCGAATCCTTGTTCTACATTGAAAACTATGAAAGAAATTAGAAAAAACGATTAAAGAGAAGAGGGGTAGGGTTTATTTCGTTTCTGGGTGTCAACGATTCTCTGGTCGCGATTGAACGTGCATATATATAGCAGAGGGGGTTCACGGCGCGATGCAGGTGTGGCACGGAGCGGAAGGATCAGACGCCGCAGGCGTGAGTACCACGGCGTGATGGTTTGCCGCGGCGCGGCAGGAGTCGGATGCTCGTTCTCTGTCGGCCTCGTGGCACATCTTTCCTTTTTTCTTTTTTACCATCATTTTTATCAAATTGCAATTGTATTTTCATTTTTCCAGTTTACTTTTGTACTTATTTATCTTTTCCTTCTAATTAAATTTCATCTTTCTTTTTCTTTCTTCTTTTTGAAATATGTATTCCGATATGAGTAATGATACAAGTAAATAACATTGTACATAGGGATGTACTTAATACTCCCATTGAGTGTTATGTACACCTCTATGTAAGTGTTATGACCTCTATGTACATTTATTACTTGTAGCATTTTCCTTCCAATATTTGCAAATTCACATTTCAGTTTATTTATCTTTTCCTTCGAATTTTCCATTCCGTTTTTAAAAAGAGTTTTCTGTTCGTTTGAGTTGCAATAAAAACTAAAGAAGGCATGAACTATTCTATTTATAAAAGCCAGCAAAAGAGTGTCCAAATTTTTCCTAAAATGCAAAATAAATAAATAAATAAATAAATAAAATCTACTTCAGAAAAAACACCAAATCAAAAAACCTTCGATAGGGGTACCCCTTGCGCCTTCCCCAGCTCACCAGACCATGCGGTTAGGTCCCCGATTTTCGTCACATGTGCATGTCTTAGGGCCGAAGGAGTCGATAGTTGTACCTAGATGAATTTTGCCGTAAATCTAGTTACTAGTCGAGGTGGAGGTTCTTTGGTTTCTAAGGGGTTGAGGCGGTGGCGGGATTGAGCGATTCTCTAGGGGTCTTCGTTGCGGGTTCGGGGGGCTATTGTGAGTCACTTACAGCAGCCCCAGCAGTTACACTATAACCCTTGGATTAGGTGTAATTAAAAATGCATCCAAGGGTTTTATATATACCTCATGTACGCACTATTCTTCCCACATCCTTAACTGGTACTGCTATTTAAAAATTATCTTAGATAAAAAAAAAAAA